TGGACTCTGGGCTCAGTTTTTATGTTTTAACCCCCCCCCCCCCCACACACACACAGCATTCAGGAGAAAGCCTCTGCAAAGTGTTAGAGAAAACACCTTAGTCACTTCTCTCCCCAAGAAAAGTGAGGTCCCACAAACTATCTTCTACAAGTATTTCCCTTGCAATGAATGGCTCGCAAGTAGCACCGTGGCCGGCACCTTCCTTTGAGGGCTGTGGGCAGCACATACAACCCCTAATCGGAACTATGGCTGCTCAGGAGCAGGAGGCAGAGTGAGAGACCTGGATTCAATGGGCCTTCAGTTCCACCCATGAAAGCATGATGATAAAGTGAGTGGGGGGTGAACATTCTCTCCGTGACTGTGCCGTCCTGGCGATGAGCTGTGGTGTGGGGCTCTGTGCATGCAGCGTGGTGCCTCCTGCACAAGGTGCCCTGCTGCTCACCAGCGGGTCCTTCTCTGGTCAGGACCCGAGCTCCTGCAGTGCAGCCAGAGGCAGGAGGAGAGAGGAAAGAAGAGGGGAGATGGTGAGAAAGAGGAGGAGGAGGGACAGGCAGAGAACCCCAGGAGGGAGAGACCTGGGAGCAATTTCTCACTTCCCCAGGAATGGGGCTGAGCCTTTCTGTTCGCCTCATTCTTTGCCTCCCACCCTCATCAAATTGGGTCTGTTTACTGAAAGGCCTGAATTTCTCAGGTTCATGGGAGAAATGGAAATGCTCAGGAAAGCAAAGTGTGGAAGGAAGTAACCTTCTGTCTCCGTAAAACAAACCATAGAAGTGCCAGCAGGGCCAAGGGAAGAGAAATATGTAGGAATCATTGTAATATACAGGGTGTCCCTCAAATGTACACACACTGTAACAGCTGAGAGCTCAATTCTGAAAAGGAAATGTATTTTAACAAACACTGCCTTTATAATTATTCCAAGTGTGTGTATACATTTCCTGGGACACCCTGTATTTATCAGCAAACCTCTCACTCGGGCTCACTGAAGCAGGTACCCGCATCATGAGCTTGCTGGTGGAGGTGTCATTGCTGGTGCCACAGTGTGGGGCCGTCCTGTCTGAGCCTGGAGCCCTTAGGCAGAGAATGACACCAAGAAGATGCTTTGAAGTGACAGTCAGTCCTTCCATTATTGGCTCTGACATACTACAGATAAGTTGGGGTAAGGGAAGAATAAAAATAAGTGAGGCATGATAAAGCTCTTTTTTCTTTTTCTCTCAAGAGATGACAACTATGCTTTAGAAACTCCACTAGGTTTCACATGCGCCAGAGTTCCTCAAAAAAGCGTCCAAATACACATGCTTAATACTGACATTCAGAACACCTTAACATCAGGGTGCACCAAGGTGAGGAGCTATTCGAAAATATCCCAAACACATCAGAGGGAGAAAGAACACTTACTATAAGCCAAATATTTGAGAAACATCATATTTTCACAATGATCCTATGAGGATTATTAATAATCCCATTTTACACACGAGAAAAGTGGGACTCAAAGAGAGTAAGAAATCTGCCTAAAGTCACGTTAGTTTGGATCCCTGAATGATTATATCTGGGAACAGAGCCCGTGGGCCCCTACTTAGCTCCCAGCTAGTCAGTGACCTACAAATGGCCAGGTGGGGAATCCAAACTCATACACTTGATGCCGGAGATCCCATCTTAACAAGTAGAAAGTCCTCACTTAACGTGGTTGATGGGTTCTCAGATTTAAGCTAAAAATGGTATAACAAAGCCAATTTTACCATGGGCTAATTGATATTAACAAGAGAGGTTCCTACAGCATCTCAACGCTATAAAGAAAAAAGTTGAATGAAATGACATTACTCAAGGTCCTGCTGTTCTTAATCCTGCCTGCCATTCTAGTGGACTGACTCCTCAGAGAGGATCTGAATTGCTGCACTATTATTTCTGGTGTCAAATCCTTAAGTACTTTCTACTTTTAGAATTATGCGTCCTGCTCTAATTGTAATACCAAGGTATTGTTATGAGGGAGGTTTCTCAAACCCATGTGTGCTGGCTTTGTTAGCTCTCTCTCTTTAAAAAAATATTTTTTTTATTGCTTTCAGAGAGGAAGGGAGTGAGAGAGAGAAACATCAATGATGAGAGATAAACATTGATCAGCTGCCTCCTGCATCCCCCTCCCCAACTGGGGATTGACCCCGGCATGTGCCCTGACCGGAAATTGAACCATGACCTCCTGGTTCATAGGTCAATGCTCAACCACTGAGCCAGGCGTTAGCTCTTTTCTTGTTGAGAAACTTGGTTAAGTTGTGGGAGATTTTTTTTCTAGCCTGTTATGATGTAACAGTATATTCTACAGTCAGAAATGTCTGAAAAGTGGTAGAAAATACACTCAACCACAGAACAAAGTCCATAGCTACGTTGTTGACAGGTTACTTGGTTAGACTTCATACTCTGGACTCCCTGGTATGATTTGTGTCTAAAAAAGGAAAGGAAAAGAACCTACCTTTACTTTTCCCCCTTTGTGGCATATCTTATCAACAATACAATGCCCTCCCTGTGCTTGAAGGAATCAATACATGAGTCTGGCCAAAATGGGTTGTAATTTGATATGATTATGAGGATTAGTGCCTTTAATCTCCACTGAGCTGGCAGGTAGGGTGATGTGCTAATATTCTGTTTTTAAACCAGACAGGATATCATTGTTAACTAGACTACTTGTTCTATTTGGAAGGTTGCTTGCACCGTGGCAGCTTGTCAACATCTCAAGGTGGGCGTCCACTGAAAGGTGCACCTTGACATGGTAAGTTTGAAAAGGCACAAGGAAAGGAAAGAATACAGTCATTTAAATGCCAGCCTTGGCAATTCTAGAAAACAATGGGGTCTGGAAAGGAGGTTTTGCGCTTTCTAATTTCTCCATACTGACTGTGCAGTCACGGGTAGCTGTTCACAGAACCAATTTCCTTCTACCCAGCTAGGCTACACTGCCCAACATCCCTTGTAGTTGTGGGTGGCCATATGACTAGGAGGAAATGTGAAAGGTAGTGTGTGCTACTTCCAAGTGTGGCCCTTAAAAACCTTCCTAGCCATCCTCTACACTTTATTTCCTCCCTTTTCTGACTGTTAGGGTAGAGATAACCAACAGGAAGGCCTTGGAAGACATGTGCTTAAGATAACAGAGCCACCAGCGTTCTGTGACCCTGAGTAACTATGTGGGGCATGTCCTCTTTAGCTGCCCAGGAATACTCTTTGGACTCTTAAATAAGCAAAAATGTATTTCTATTGGATTTGAGTCATTATACATTTGGGGGCCTATGTGTAACCAGAGTCTAGCCTACCCTAACATATTGCCCATCATTGACTCCTCAACTAGTTATTTCTGCATCACTAGTCCTGACAATTTTATCTCTTAAATCCTTTAAAAGCTTCCCTTGCTCTTAGGATAAAATACCAAATTGTACTATAATCTATGAGAGCCTGCAAGATCTAGCTCCTGCCAACTCTCCCCCAACCTCTCAGCCACATGTCATGACACTTTCTTCTCTGTTCTCCATTCTACAATCACCCCAGTCATGTTTCACTCCTTCAGATGTAGCATGCTTTTTCTACCTCAGGCCCTTTGCACATTCTATTCGCAATGAATGCACCACTCTTTCCTCCCCCAAGCCTTATCATCTACTCAGTTTTCTGCACTTTTCTCAAATAGAGAATAAGTATTGGGGGTGGTACAATAAATTGGATCATTTTTCAAGAAAAAGCCTCAGCATGCTCATTGCCTAATCCTTTTTATGTTTAAGGGTTGGGAAGAATTTGTGAGGCTGCATTTTACAAGTTGAAAGCATATGTGTGCAAAAAGCTATTTAATGAAAAACTACTAAAAACTCAAACATGTAAGGACATGAGTCACTCTATGTAAACTATGTAATATTCTTAAAATAGACTATTATATAGCCATTAAAATTATGTCATAAGAGAGCCATAACAGCCACTTGTAGCAGCAAAGTAAAAGTCGTTTCTTCTGCCATTTAGCATTATAGCTGTCAGCATTTTGACTGGAGATTCAGTTTAAGGACGCTTTCTTTGTTCAGTAAATTCACAGAACTGTGTAATCAAAAGGGGAATAGAGGGCTGGGTGAAAAAGGTGAAGGGATTAAAAAGTACAAATTGGTAGTTACAGAATAGTCACAGAGATGTAAAATACAGCATAGGGAATACAGTCAATAATACTTTAATAACTATGTATGGTGCCAGGTGGGTACTTAAAATATGGGGAGGGGGGCACTTTGTCAAGTATATGATTGTCTAACCGCTATGCTATACACCTGAAACTAATACAAAATAATATTGAATGTCAACTGTAATTGAAAAAAAAAATTTGGAAATAAAAAATAGCATGCTCTTTCCCACCCTAAAAGGCATAATGACAGAGACACAGATTTATTTTTAGTTAACCATGATTAATACAAATGGTTCTATGAGTAAAAATAAAAATTTAATGTGCATGGCCAGGCCAAAACTGGATATGACAACCTCAGATCTCATAAGAGTCAGTCTCTGGCTGAAGCTGGGGAGACAGGGCCCCAGGCGGCTGGCAAGGGAGAGTTGGCCAACGCTGGTTTTAGTGTCCTGGGCTCCCCATGGTAAATACTTCCCCACCTGCATTCTGGGTCTCAATCTCTTTCAAGTGCCTAATTCCTGGTTTTGCTGCCTTTGCTCCCCATTCTTTTCTTTAAAAAATATATATATTTATTGATTTCAGAGAGGAAGGGAGAGGGAGAGAGAGAGAAACATCAATGATGAGAATAATTGACTGGCTGCCTCCTGCACACCCCACACTGGGGATTGAGCCCACAACCTGGGCATATACCCTGACCAGGAATCAAACCATGACCTCCTGGTTCATAGGTCGATGCTTAACCACTGAGCCATGCCAGCTGGACTGCTCCCCATTCTTTTGCTCATACTGATCCCAACTCTCAAGAGGATACCCAACACGGTCCATTATATCTATAGTCATTGTTCCGTATCCAAGGACTGTGTTCACAGTGATCAGGTAGGAAGTGATGGCTCTATAGCAGGGGTCCCATCTGCACCATCACTAAGGGACAGCTCATTCATGGGAAGCCCTGCCAGGGGTTTTATCTTGCTCCCCATGTGGGAGTCCTGGGCCTGAAGGGATTTGGTTCTAGGAAGTTTCACTGATGAGGTTGGATGTGCAGACCAGAGGAAGCTTTACAAAGAAGCTGTTATATTTCTGGTTTCTATTCTGCAGACAGGGTATGATTGGGGAGCCTGGGTCAGGGTGTGCCGCAGTAGGGGATATCTGATGAGAATAGCAATCAGGGGACTGTCGCTGGTCCCTGACACAAGAGCCATTCATTTGTTCTTTGCATTGTGGCATGAAAACCCTTAGGGTAGTCGGCACAAACTCTCGGCCACAAGGAGGGGCAATTAGCAGCTGGGCTTTGTTTGTTGGTGTTTTTTGCTTTTTAATTGAAGGTGAATACCTTTACACAAAGCATACCACCTCGCCCTATTGTTCACTATTCCTCCACTTCCCTGTGACTTTCTGGTCCCTATTGGCCTCTGAGTTTGCAAAGCCAACCCAAGGGCAATGCCTGTCTCACAACTCCTACGTGCTGGCTATTTTCGTTAATGACTCCTACTCTCTTCTGATGGATAAGCTCCAGGTTCCGGTTGGTCTTATCTCTGCTATGCACTCCTTACCTTCCCACCACCACTGCTCTGAGGTCAGGCCCCCCGCTACCTCTCCTGTAAATTACTATGATGGCTTCTTAACTGGCTTTGCTGTTTCAGTATTTCCATTCTTCCATCCATTTTATGCACTGCTGGCAGCTTACTCCTCTGGAAGCATGCTCCCTAACAGCACTTTCTATCTGCCTTGGTCTAAACTCCTTGGCCAAGTATTTGAGGTCTCCCATGGTGCAGGTGCAGCCCACCCTGCTACAGCTTAAGCCCCTCCACACCCTTTCTGCACTCTGGGCTCCAGTCAGACCAAAGCACACACTGTTCTTTGACAGTCCCTGGGCTTTCCTACTTCCGTGAATTTTCTCACACTCTTTTCCCACTTAGAACACTCTTTGCTCCATCTTTGCACATTCACATTCTATCAGTATGCAAGGCTGAGATAAAAACCACCTCTTCTATCTCATCTGTCCCAGTCAGAATTCTTCTTTCTTCCTCTAAACCTCTATAGCACTTTCCAGTTTCAGTGGCTGAGGTCCATGCTTTTCCTATTACCCCTGAATCCCTGAGAACAGAATTGATGTTTATCTTTGTATCCCCACCTTAGCACAGGGCTTCGTTAAGAGCTGAACAAATGAATTAACACATAAGTAAATTTCTCACCTGCAACTTGGCAGTTAATGGTCACATTCACTCCCCGCACTGTTTTGATGGTGCCTCCTATATCCACTGTGATGGCAGGCTCCTTGGTGTTGAGCACAGTCATTCGTGATGTTTTCACTAATGGCTTTCCTGAAGATGGGGAGAAATGTGAAATTTTATATGCAATGACTATAGACTTGAGGCATTCCCTTGAATCATGGGATAATGAAGAATGAACTACTGGTATACCCAGACTTTTTCCATGAATCATATTTTCCTTTGAAAAAATTGTAACTGCACAATATAAAAACCATCTACTTACCCACCCACCTACCTACCACAGAACTGTCGGAAAAAGAACAAGGATGGAAGCATATGAGGATAAGAGGATGGTGTCCAACAAGTTCGGATGGTTTGTACATTTTTATCATGAAATTCACAGATGACCCTATACATTCAATTTTTTTAAAGAGCTTGGTTATTTTAATTAAACTTTTTACTTTGAGATAATTCTGGATTCACATGCAGTTGTAAGAAATAGCACAGAGAAATCCTGTGTAGCTTCTACCCAGTTTCACCTAATGGTGGTATCTTATAAAACTAGAGTATAATATCATGACCAGGACATTGACACTGATAAAGTTAAGCTAAAGAACAATGCCATCATCACAAGGATCCCTCACGCTATCCCTAACCCCACCTTCATCTTTGGCAACCATTAATCTGTTCTCCATGTCTATAAATTTGTTATGTAAAGAATGTTATATAAATGCAACCATACAGTATGGAATCCTTTTTTTTCCATCCAGAAAAATATTCTGGAGATTCTGCCAGGTCTCACATGGTACCATGCTGTGCATGTCAATAGTTTGCTCCCTTTTATTGCTTTTCCATCCAAAATATTCTAAAGATTCTGCCAGGTCTCACATGGTACCATGCTGTGCATGTCAATAGTTTGCTCCCTTTTATTGCTGAGTAGTAGTCTATGGATGTACCACAAATCTTTTGGCCATTCACTTGTTGAAGGACATTTGGGTTGTTTCCAGATTTTGGCAATTCAAATAAAGCTGTAGTGATGTCTCATTGTGTTTTTAATTTGTATTTCTCTAATAACTAATAACATCAAATATATTTAAATGTGTCTATTTGCCAAAAAAATAATGTCGAATATATTTTAATGTATCTATTTGCCATCTGTATATCTTCTTTGGTAATATGTCTCTTCATGCCATTTGATCATTTTCTATTTAGATTTTTTTAATGTTTAGTTTTGAGAGTTTTTTATATTCTAGTTTATTAATTTTTAATCCTCACCCTAGGACAAAGAGAGAGGAAGGGAGGGAGAAAGGGATAGAGGGGGGGAGAGAGAGAGGGAGATCTGTCGTCTCTGTGCCTTAACAGGGGTTGAATCCACAACCCAGGTATGTGCTAGACTGGGAATTGAACTGGCAACCTTTTGGTGCACAGGACAAAGCTTAACCAACTGAGCCACTCTGGATGGGCAGAGTTATTTATATTCTAGATACTAGTATTTTGTTAGATATCAGGCTTTTCATTTTCTTAACAGGATCTTTCACAGGGCAAAAGTTTTTGTTTTTTTTTTTAACTCTGATAAAGTCCAATTTATCAAGTTTTCCTTTCATGGAACATGCTTTTGAAGTTATGTCTAAGAACTATTTACCTAGACCTAGATGCTGAAGATTTTTTCCTATCTTTTTCTAAAAGTTTCATAGTTTTACATTTTGCATTTAAGTCTGTGATACATTTTGGGTTAATTTTTGTATAAGGCGTGGTACTTAGATCAATGTTCATTTGGTTTTTTTTGCCTATGGATGTCCAATTGTTTCATCAGCATTTATTGATTTATTTTTATTTTTTAAGCTACATGTATGCCTGTGGTTAATTCTAGCATTAAACATTTTTCAATTGAATTTATTGGGGTGACATTGGTTAATAAAATTATATAGGTTTCACGTGTACAATTCTATAATACAGCATGTGTATATTGTATTGTGTGTTCACCACCTAAAGTCGTCTCCTTCCCTTATCATTTATTGAACAAGCTATCTTTCCTTCATTAAGTTGCTTTGCACCTTTGTCAAAATCAGTTGGACATATTTTTGAGGATCTATTTCTGGGTTCTCTCTTCTGTTCCATTGATCTATGTGTGTCTCTATCAATACCACATGATCTTAAATATTGTACTATATAATTTTGAAATTGGGTAGGCCGATTCTTCCTACTTTATAATTTTTTGATATTCTATTGTCTTGACCTTTTCACATAAATTTTAAATTATTCTTGTCTACAACTATAAAATCTTGCTGGGATTTCGATAGGAATTACATTAAACCTGTGTATCAATTTGGGAAGAACTGATATCTTTACTGTGTTGAGTCTTCCAACCCATGAACACTGTCTTTTTATTTTATATCTCCTCTAATTCCTTTCATCAGAGTTTTGTAGCTTTCAGCATACAAATCTTATATATATTTTATTTGATTTATACCTAATTTGTATTTTTTGAGGGACTGTAAATGATGTTTTTTTAATTTCAATATTCGTGTGTTCATTGCTAGTATCTAGAAATCTGTTAATTTTTGTATATCCAGTGACATTATTAAACTCACATGCTAGTTTTAGGACTTTTT